CTTGTCACTGTGGCCTCTGCCACGTGCCGTTAGCTGTGGGCGCTCCGGGGGAGGTTGTAGTGTCCTTCGGGTCCCCAGCCCCTCCCGTGGCCGGAGGTCTTCTGGGGTCCTGAGCCACCCAAGGCATCATCAGCTGTGAGTGTGGGGCCAGCTACCCCGGGGCACCTCCTGGCTGAGTGGTGCTCCTGTGGCAGCAGTCAGGACTCTGCCCCTCGCTGTCCCTTCCGCCCGGGGCCTCCCACCCTTAGTGACGCCCTGAAGCCCCCGACTCATTTCTTAAGTCTTCACAGCTGCAGTGTGGAGGCTGGGGGCCCTGCCATCGCCCCAGTGACCTCTGTGCTGTCCTGTCCACTTGCCTATGAAGAGGAGGCGAGGCTTAGTGGCGGGCGCTCATCGTCCCGGAGAGGAGGGTTGGGCAGAGAGGGGTGTCGGGGCAGCCTGAGGACCTCTGCTTCGAGGGGCTCAGCTCGCCTTCTGCTTCCCTGCTAGTCTTTGGCCGTGGCTTCGTGGCTGTGGTCCTGTTTCCTCATCTCTCAAGTGGGCAGCATAACAGTGCCCACCTCCGGGCCCGAGGAAGGGTTGGGAGTCCGGGGCCAGGCATGTGGTCAGCTGAGTGCTCTGGACTTCCCTCTGGGTCTTTCCCAGTGGGCACGAATCCTCGCCCTCCACATCCTGCCCTGTTCTGGGGAGGCCTCTTGGTCTTTTGGAGCCTCAGTCTCCTCGTCTGAGAAGTGGGTCTGGCTACCTCTACCTGCTAAATGGGTGGGGGGGTGCTGTGGTCACAGCAGCTGGTCCAGGGCATGGCTGGCCGGACTGACCCCCAGGCAAGGTGCGTGTGTCCTTCCTCCATGTGACCCTAACTGTCGCCTGTGGTCCCCGAAGCTCTGCTCTGTCACACTCACTGTGAGCTGGGCCCCAGCTGCTGTGGGGGATGCAGGGTGGCAGCTCTTGGCCTGATGTCCAGGAGGGACAGAGCCGACAAGGAGGACAGGGGAGGAGGGGGGAGTCGGCTGGGGCAAGGGCTGTGGCCTCACCCTGGGGACCGAGGAAGCTTCCTGAGGGGATTCGGGGGCCTGGGCCTCAGTAGGCACACAGTGGGGTGCGGGTGCAGGAGGGGGCGGGGTCCAGAGGACCAGAGCCACCTTGGGCTCGGGCTCCTCAGGCGTGTGGGCTGGACGGGTCAGGAAGACCTGGAGCTGAGGGAGGTGGACAGGGTGCGGCTCAGCATGGTGAAAGCTATGGGGGTGAGGTGCACACAGATTCAGTCACAGGCCCACGGTCACACCGCCGGCAGGCGGGCGCAGAGCCTTAGGCTGCCCCTTGGGAGGGGCGGCGCTGGTGACAAGGCCGTGGCGCCCTGTTGCATACGGGATGGAGGTGGAAGCCGGGGGCTGCCCTGGTTGTCATCAGGATGCTTCTTCATTCAAGGGCTCTGTGGGAGCTGGCATGATGGGGATCGGTCGGGGGGGGGGGTGTCTGCCAGCGGTGAGGGGGTGAGTTGTGCCCCTGCCCCGAGGCAGGGCTGGCACTGACAGGATTGGCTGGGGAAGGAGCAGCTGGGTGAGGCCAGGGCATGTGGTGGCTGAGCGTGTGACCTGGGAGGCACTCAGGTCCCGGGGAGAGACCTGGGCTGCCCACCAGCCTATCCTGGGGAGCCCGACCTTGGCTTCCCTGGCCTCAGTTTCCTGGTCTGTAAAGTGAGGTTTTTCCAAAGACAGGACGGAGAGGATGGGGCACAGGACCTGGGCATATGCTTGGTAATGCCAGCTGCCACTGTTGTCCTGTCATTGCTCTGGGCACTGGAGTCCACCCTGGGTGGCTACGTGGTGACCTGGCCTCTCTGACTTGATTTGGATGGTGTGGTGGTCTTCAGAACCAGGTAGGCCGGGGACCTATGAGGTACTCAAGGGAATGGGCTGATACCAGGACCTGAGGCCCAAGCCCCCAGGTGCCAGGGGAGGCTGCTGAGGGGAGGCAAGGCAAGAGGGGACAGGTCCCCACTTCCTGGCAAGCATTCAAGAAAGACACAGCCAGAAGGGACAAAGAATGGAGCAGGGCCACCCTTTGATTTTCCAAGGTAAACCTGCCGGAGGCCCAGAGAGAGACAGGACTTGACTCAAGGTCACACAGCAGCTAGTGCTGGGAGCAGACCTGTGGACTTGGGGTTCTGGGTGCTGTCCCCCTCTGTGAAGGAGAGATGTGGTTATTTATCAGGGGAGTTTAATAATGAATGGAGTCGAGGTGTCTTTAATGCAGGCAGCAGGCCCCAAGTAGTAAGGGACCCTGTATTAATTCGGAAGTTAATGAATATGCAGGTGTTTCTGAATGATTAATGGGGCTCCCGGAGGCCCTGGAGAGGGGGCGCAGCGGCTGCTGATGGAATTATGAATATTGCATACATCTGGGACTCTGGGTAAACCGGGAGCAGGTGGGCATCAACGAAGCGGAGGACTCTGGTGGTCACAGAGGGCTGAAGAGGCACTCGGGCGAGCCCACGATGTCGTGGCTAAGTGCTCTCTCTGCCTCGCTGTGTGATCCTGAGTGAGTCACTTAACCTCTCTGGGCCTCCACTTCCCCATCCGCAGGATGATTCCTGGGGACCACAGGAGACAAGCCCTTCCCCCCGGGAGACAGGTGGTCCAAGAGAGCCAGTGAATTCCCCCGAGTGGGGCAGCGTTTTACGGTTTGTAAAGGGTCACCAATCGTGTGAGGGAAAGGAGAGGGGTCTGGGGGCCACCGCAGCTCAGGGAGGGCCGGTCACTGCCCAGGTCACCCACCAGCAAGGGCCAGGTCTGCACCCCTGCTCTGTGCCTATGGAGAGAGGCGGAGTGGAGGGCTCTCAGAGTACTGAGCCTGAACCTGGGAGTGGGGTGCCCTCTTGGTGCCTCAGTTTCTCCACCAGAGAAGGTCTGTCTACCATTCAAGTTCTGTAGAAGCTTTGTGAGAAACTGGGGTGCCGACCCCACCCCTGCCCCGACTCTGCACACATTGTTTGTTGAGTGCTTCGAGCTGCTGGACTGTGGTGTGTGGGTTTATCTCGGATCTGGAAGCTGTGGGTGCTAGGCCGCTTTAGCTGGGGCCCTTGGGTGTGTCCCTTGTCCTATCTCAGCCTCAGTTTCTTCATCCATCCAATGGGCATGACGGGACAGTGCTGTGTATCAAGTGTGCAGGGCCCAGGCCCTGTGGCTGGGGGCGGGAGGGCCATTTCCGGTCCCTTCCCTGGCCTCCTCTCTGCTCACCCTTCACTCCCAGGACGGGATGGAGCGGCTCACGGTGCCGGGCTGGGGCCGCAGTTTCCAGTGTGGGTTAGTGTCCGAGTCTCCCCCATCCTCAACAGTCCTCTGGTTTGGGCGTAGGGCAGAAGTGAAGCCGGGGTCCTGCGGTTCAAGCTGGGCTGGGGCTGGGGACCGTCCAGCTCCGTCTCCCCAGTGCACCCTCCGATCCCCGGCCAGGTCGTTTGGCTGCTGGGTCGCAGCTCCAGGAATGGCCGATCAGTGAATGAAGGAACGAATGAATGGATGGATGGACAGACGGATGGGTGAATGTTCCCGGCCTCGTTCCCTTTCTCTGTGCGGCTCCAGCCCCATGTGCGAGTGTGCTGGGAAGATCCGGGGAGGCGCAGCCTGCTTTGGGTCTCTCTCCTGCTCCCCAAGGTCTGCAAGGTGTGTGATTGAATAGGGTCTCTGTAATCTTGGCCACGGCGCTGTCCGCAGTCACAGACTGGCTGACGGAGGTCTAGAAGGGAAGAGGGCTGCAGGGCAGGGCTGGGGCTGGAACCCGCCTCGCGTGCCCGGCCCCGTGTCCCACCTGCCTATGTATTTATAGTCCTTACTGATCTATATTAGCACCAGGGCCCGTTCAGGCTCTGCAGTCTGAGATCTGAGGTCGGCTTTGAATGCTCTGGGGGGCTGCAGACTCAGAGCTCACCCCCACGGGGCGGGTGAACGCGGCTTCTCACCTTATGCTTCGCAGCCCCAGGCTCACGCTGGGCCCTTTGCCTGCAGTCTTTGGCAGATGTGGGGCCAGCCTTTGGGGCGACAGTGTCTTTGTCTGGGTCTGTTGTCACGCCTTGCTTCCCTCTAGCTCTACAGGAGACTGTATTTAGCACGCGATTGAGGGCATGTGCGAGCCAGCCCCCTCTCGGAAAGCCTCAGTGTCCCCATCTGTAGAATGGATGTAATGCCCACCCATCTCCGGCCCGGCAGGCTGTGTACCCTCTTGTGTCTCCTCTGGCCTCATGACGCGAAGTCCTCACATCCTGAGGGCCTGCAGTGTCATCCCCACTTGACAGAGGAGGCCTGTGTGGCCCCAGGGGCAGCGTGACTTACTGGCCGCTGCGCTGCCAGTCCGCTGGGGCGGAATTCGGACTCCTCTAAGTCTGAATGCCCCCACCTCGCAGACCCCCTCCCCAGGGCCCTTGGGGTCCTTGGGTGAGTCCAAGTCCTCACCCCACCGGCGTGGTTCCCGCCCTGGTCGCCATGGGAACAACTCACTAACTCTATGCTTCTCTTACAGAGCAGAGACGGCCGGCCGCCCTGAGCGCAATTCAATTCAACAGACATTTACTGAGCGCCTACTATGCGCCAGGCCTTGGGCTAGGCACTGGGGTGGGGTGGGGTGGAGAGAGGAAGGTGGGGTCCCGTCCTCAGGTAGCTCTGGGCCTGTGAGGAAGGGGCGTGGACAGACAGGCAAGGGCCCAACAGCTTGGCACCGAGAGAGCCGCGTGGAGGGCTAGGAGCAGTGGGGACGAGGGTTTAAGTGCTTCCCAGGACAGTGACTGTGCCTGGCCCGTGCCTCAGTTTCCCCACCTATAAAATGGGAGGAAGTGAGATGATTTCTAGGACCCTTGTGGGATCCCATGGGCCATGCATGCACCATGGGGGTAGGGACAGAGCAGGGAGGCCATCGCTCTGCAGAGGGGAGGTTGTCCCCCCACCAGGCTTCCCAGAGGAGGAGGAGGAGGAGGAGGAGGAGGAGGAGGAGGAGGAGGAGGAGTGAAGGTTGAGACTTCAGGGCCCGAGACAGGTGGGATTGGCTCCCCTGGCTCCCCTGGCTCAGGAATGCACAGGAAAGGTCTGGGAGACAGGTAGGGGACGCCCCTGAAACCTCGAAGGGTCACGGTCGACGGGTGAGAGGTGAGCTAGAGAGGGGTTTGAGGGCCACAGGTAGGACTGTAAGCTCTGTCCCGGGGCAGTGGGAGCCACGGAATGCTGCTGAGGGAGAGCCAGAGACAGATGGTCCCGCACTGCCCCTGCACTCCTGGGGTCCATTCCCCCAGGGCCCTGCAGCTGAGTGGCCGTGGTGGCATCAGCACTGTGCTGGGCACTTTCCACGCTAGTCCTCACGCAGGCCCATCCGTCAGTGGACACTACTGGGCCCCATCCACAGAGGGGACACTGAGGCTCAGAAGGGGAAGCTACTTGCCAAGGTCATGCTGTGAGCCCCGAGGCCCCCATGCTGAGGTCATCTCTGTTCTGCCTTTCCCAAGGCCTCTGGGTGCTTGCCAGAGTCAGGTTTGGGAAGGGGGTAAAGGTAGGAAGATTCCTCAGATGTTAGCAGGGCCAGCTTTCTCCAGCACCCGAGCTCCTTCCCACTTTACAGATGAGCACACTGAGGTCCCCAGGGTCACCCTGCTGGGCCAGGGCTGAATTTGAGTGAGAGACAGCGTAGGGCAGGAGCCTATCTTCTCATCTGACTGAGGCTGGAGGGTTCCAGTCTTTGAGACCTGTGCAGAAGAGGACGCCCAAGGCCCTCCCCAGGGAGTGGGAAGGGCTGGCATTGGTGTCACAGACCTGGGTTCAAATCCTGGCTTTGTCTCGGATGAGCTGTGTGGTGGTGTGCAAGTCATGAAGTCCTCTGGGCCTCGGTTTCTTTATCTGCAGCAGGGAACACAGACCTCTCCCTTCTGTCATTAGCACGCTTTTACTGAGCACATGCTGGGGGCCGGGTGCCAGGCTGTTCCCTGGGGGAGGCAGCCAGCAGTCGTGGATCCCGGGCCGAGGACGGAGACCAGGGGCCGTGGGAACCCAGCCAGGTGAGGGCAGGGAGGGAGGCAGGTGCCAGCTCCCGCAGAACCTCGTGGGTGGGCTTTATGTGTTGGAATTTTCCTGGAATCAGCTGTGAGTGCCACGCTCAGGCTAAGAGTGTAGAAAGCGGATCCAGGCTGGGGGCCGGGTGCAGTTGGGCATCAGAGACAGCTTGGCGAGGTGCTAGAAACGGGGCAGAACCAGAGCACCCATAGTAGCATGGTGGACACAGAGGCCCCCCGGGTGTGGGCTGCTGGGCGGACGGGCCAGTGGGCTGGGAAGAAGCCAGTCAGGGCCAGGTGGGTAGCAGGCTGGGTGTCCAGGCCTAGATGGGGTGAGGGTAGAGGGTGGGTGAAGTTCTAGGTGCCAGGGAGGAGCCAGGGACGTGGCTGTTGAAGTGTGGTCAGCCTGGGGCTGATACAGAAGCCTTGGGAGGGGCCGAGATGGTTCTAGAGGAAGCAGTTTGAGAGGGACAGAGCTGGGCCCAGGGCCTCCCCAGTGCGTAGAGTCAGGGAGTGCGGGAGAGCCAGGCGCGGGCCCTCTGCCCAGGGTGACAGTGTTTTCTAGGAGGACGCGGCTGGGCTTGGGTCTGCCGGAGAATCTGAATTCCAGGAGTTGTGGAGGGTGGGGTGCGGGTGGCTGGAGGGAGGGCTGAGCTCCTGTCTTCTCCCAGAAGTCAGCACCTAAGTCTGTCCCCAGAAAGAGGAGGCCCCAGGGAGGAAGGTGTTTGCCAAGGAGGCAGAAACATTTGCATGCATAACAAGGCCGAAGTGAGGGAGAGAAAAAGGGGGGGGGAGAGAGAGAGAGAGATGAAAAGAAATTACCATACATCAGGATCTTGTTATTCAACCTAATTTTCAAAGGACCACAGCTGTCGCACTGAGATAATCCGTTAATTATAACAGCCATCGTGCTTTGGCAATGGGAGAGAAACCGAGGCCGGGAACAGGCTGAGTGGATGGAGCAGGCCTGCGAGGGCCTGGACCTCAGGGAAGGGGCAGGGCAGGGCCGAGGGGCTGCTCTTGGGGGTCAGGTCTCAGCCTTCCTCACTGTAATGGTTACAGCCATGGACGGCGAGGTCCTACACGTGCCAGGCGGGTGCCAGGCTCCTGGTCGGGGTCAGGAGGTATCTGCAGCAGCTGACTTTACTGAGCAGTTACTATGTGCCAGACCCTGCTCTGTGGCTGTTCCCTCTGGCTGGTCTCCTTCCTGCCCATTTTACTGGAGAGGAAACTGACACGCAGCAGCCTGCCAGGGCGATGGTTAAATGGGCAGCCTGGATTAGTGGGGATGTGGTCGTAAGGAAGGGCCAGTTTCACTGAGTCGGTCACCAGGCGTTGGTGGACGTGGAGCTGACATCGTCCAGGGCCCCCTGGTTTTGCCCAGCTAGCCATGGCCAGAGTCACCGGTGCACCCCCCCCCCCCGGCGTTTCCGGGGCCGAGGCAGCCCCTGGGCCCTGACAAGAGTCCCCTTGTTCTCAGAGCTGCAGCTGCGGCCCCCACCGGAGTGGCACCCGCCCTTCAGAGCCTCACAGGCTGGGCCGAGGAGAAGGTTTCCCACTGGCCAGGAGCCTCGTGCAGTGCAGACCCCTTGTGACCCTGGCTGGAGGTGGTGAGGAGACAGGTCTCTGGGCTGTGGCCCTGGGTTGGGTCCCTCAGCCCGGCCAGCAGGACGCCAGGGTGCAGGGCCCTAGGGCCTGGTTAGGGAGCAGGAGCACAGGCAGTGTGAGGGGAGCTGGTGAGGAGAGGGGCTGTCCCAGACCCCGAGATCCCTGTGGCTCTCTGCCCAGCAGCAGGCCTCGGCCTCTGGGGCTAGAAGTTCCTGTTCGGACCCAGCAGGGACCCCAGACTTGACCCTGTAGGGTTCAGAGTAAGAGCAGGCCCCACAGACTGCCAGACAGGTCTGAGAGGCGCTGGGGTGCTCTCCTGACTCGGGGTCCTCAGGTCTCGGAGTGCTTAAAACCATGGAGAAGTGTGACCCAGGGGTGGAGACTCAGCAGCATTCGGGAGCCCAGAGTCCCAGATGTACCCTGTGTGCTCTCAAGTGCCACGCTCAGTGCCAGGGACCCTGAGAAGGGCAGACCCACACTGTCAGTGTCCCAGAGCCCTCGGCCAGGAAGGATGAAGCAGGGTGGGGGAGCCTGTGCGCCCCTTGGGTCCCAGAACGGGAGGCTCATGGAGTCCCCCATGCAGGTGGGGAGTTAGTTGTTCCCCCTCTGCAGGAGCCCAAGACCAGGACACCCTATGCCAGGGAGCCAGGGTGGAGGGTGGGGCCCTCGCTCTGCCCTGTATCATACAGACCCAGCGCAGCTACAGTTCACGGAGTTGTCAGTGGATTCTGGAAGGAGGTTTTGAATATAGGCAACTAACAATGAAAAGTGTAATCCTTGTCTGGAGTTGCCGGGGTGCCCCAAAATCTCATGAGCAGGGTCTGACGCTGTCTGTGGAGGGGAAGCCACTGAGTAGCAGTTGGAGGACCTCAGTTTCCTCTTCTGTAAAGTGGGTACAGTGATAGCTCTGACTCTAGGGCTTATACTGAGGACTGAGTGGACATAGGAGCTGGGAGGTGTCTAGGCCCCAGGACAACTGTCCTGCTTGCTGGCTCCTCCTCGGAGCCTCTGAGCTCTGAGCTCTCAGCCCCAAACCCCATTCTCCCGTGGGCTCTGACCTGTTGCTCTGGCTGGGGACAGCCCTGAGGGTGTGGGAAGGCAGGGAGTAGCCAACAGGACGATGGAGGCGGAGGCAGGGCTGGGGTGGGCCTAGCCAGCGCCTGGTACATAGTAGGTGCTCCATAAATGTTTATTGAATGAATGAATGGAGGCCATGCAGGCAGAGGCAGCCGTGGTGCACAGGCACTGGTGAAAGCGGGTCCAGTGGAGACTGGTGAGTAGCGCCCAGGGGCTGCCACTGCGCCAGGTGGGGGAGGACAGGCCAGGTGGGGTGAGGGCACGGGTCAAGGGTGAAGTTCAGGTGGGGAGAGGGCAGGGATCAGAGCGGGTAAAGGTCAAGTGGGGAGATGGTAGGGGTTTTCAGGGGGTAAAGATCAGGTGGAGACAGGGCAGAGGTCAGGGGGCAAAGGTCAAGTGGGAAGAGGGCAGGGGTCAAGGGGTAAAGGTCAGATGGGGAGGGGTCAGGTGTCAGGTGTAAAGGTCAAGTGGGAAGAAGGCAAGGGTCAGGGGGTAAAGGTCAAATGGGAAGAGGGCAGGGGTCAAGGGCTAAAGGTCACGTGGGAAGAGGGCAGGGTGTTGCGGGGAGGCTGAGTCAGAGGGGAGGTGGAGTTCTGGGGAGGAGAGGTGAAGGCCAGGTGTGCGTAGGAAGTCTGAATAGCTGGGTGGGCTCTGGGAGGCAACCCTTGGGGTGGCATCAGGGTGGACTCTGTCACAGGGTTCCCTTGGCGGTGGGCTGTCTGCTGTCCCCTGTGCCTGTAGTGGTGGACGAGAACAGGTAGCCAGTAGCTGGGCATGGGCTGGCCATTCAGGGCTGGCCTCTGGTCAGGCGGAGCAAGTCTGTGTCTTCTTGCTATCCCTTCTGCTGGGCTGGGTGTGGTTAGGTGCCAATGACAACTGTGATGCCCTGGGAGCGGGGAGCCGTGGGCACCCGTGAGTCCCGCTGGCCTAGGGGACAGTGGCAGAAGCTTGACAGGGGGCTCCCAGCAAGCCAGAGACACTCATGCGCACTGCTCTTCTCCGAACAGATGAGGAACCGAGGCCCAGCGAGGTAAGGTGCTGGCTTGCTGGAGGTCACACCAAAGCCAGGCGCTGAGGCGTCGCCGACGTGGGCCGGTACCTCTTAGAGGGGCCCTCCGCACAGGGCCCCAGCCCCAGGACCAGGGTCAGCAGGCCCAAGCCTCAGCGTCCCCTCCCTGCCACTGTCGTCTTCCGCTGTCGTGAGGCAGCTGGCAGCTCTGGGGACGGGGGCCCGTCTTCCTGCCTCACCGAGGTGGGAGGACCGTGGCTGGCTGGACCGCAGGTGCCTCCCACCCAGAGTGGGGCTGCCTGGCTTGGGTCTGCTCTTCATGTCCCTGTGGCGCAGTGTGGCCAGGGCCTGCTGGCTCTGCAGGGTGACACAGCCTGGGTTGGACGCTGAGGCCAGCTCCCCGGAGGCCTGGAGCAGCTGGTGCGAGGGGCTGAGGGTAATGAGACCTGATGGAATGGGGTGCCGGGACAGCAGCTTGGGGGAGACCCAGACGGACCTGGCCCTAGTGGCCCAAGGACGTCCTGTGGCACTGGGGCCGTGTGGGGTGCGTGTAACGGGGCCGGGGGTCTGGTCTGGTTGACGTCTAGGACAAGGTAAGGACACAGCACTGTGCGCTGACAGACTGCAGGGCCAGACAGCGGCAGTGAGTGCCGCTCGCTGCTCAGACCAGGCTGGTGACAGCGTAGGAGGGACCTGGACCGCGGGCTGGAGCCGGGTGGGCGGGGCTGCATGCCGCAGCCTGGCACAGCAGGTGGAGTCGTGGGACTGTTTAGCTCAGGTGAGGGCAGCAGTAACAGACCCACAGCCTGGGAGGGGCCGCGTGGGGATGTCGGTCTCTTCCCAGTGGCTTCAGACAGCAGGCAGGGCCCGAGAAAAGAGGCATACAGAGGCTTTACCAGAATCAGACTGTGAGAAGGGAGGGAGTGGTCCCAGGCAGGTACGGAGCGCCCCCTGGCTAGAAGTGTGCAAGTGTGAGAAATCGTCCCTGCCTGTCAGCTCTGGTGCTGTGACCTGGGGTTCACTGCTGCACCTCTCTGAGCCTCAGTTTCCTCATCTGGAAGATGGGCAGTAGCAGAGGGGCACATCACCAGCACCCTATGTGGGTGGGGCTCCCCTGATTGCCCCCCCCCATATGTTCCAGGTGCTCTCCCTGGTCTCCAGCCCCGAGCTGGCATTCCCACACCCCGTGCTCAGCCCTGGCCCAGGCTCACATGGAGAGCAAGATAAATCTTGCTTTATTTCTCTGCTGGGAGCCTAGTCAGGGGAGAGGGGTAAAAGATAAAGAACTGAGAGAGGCCAGGTGGAGTGCCATGAGGGCACCAAAGCCCAGGTTGAGTGCCCAGGGAGTTAGCCCAGATCTGGTGTCCAAGACAGCGTAAGAATATTTGCCCTGAGATCTGAATGAAGTAAGATGATGAGAACACTGGGGGAGAACATTCCAGGCAGAGAGCCTGGCATGTGCAAAGGGCCCGGGGTGAGTGCTGCTGGCCTGGAATAAGCACTTCCTGACTGATAGGGCAGTCAGTCTCTGGAGGCTTATGAACAGTCCTTACACTTTCTTGTGACAGCAAGGGGAGCCCCCATCCCACCATGGCCAGTACTTGGACAGTGGCTGCCAGGAGTCCAGCCCTTCACAGGACACAGAGGAGACTTAGTTTTCTCATCTGTCAGAAGAGACTCCTGCCCTGCATGCAACCTGTCTGCACTCTGTCCTGGGTTTCCTGGGAGTCTGAGTGGCAGTCACCTTGCCACACAGGAGAGAAATTGAGGTGCAGACAGGGCCTGCCCCCCCCCCCCGTAAGGTCTCAGAGCTGGGCAGCCCCACATCTGCCTTGCTCATCCGGGCTCCATCCGCCTGCGGCCAGGCCCAACTCATGGCCCACCCTGCTCTGTGCATCCCCCTGTGTAGACCGAGGTGGTGGAGGGCGGGAGGGACTGAACCCAGAGCCCTTCCAGCTGAGCCTGCAGTGGACCTTGGAGGTGGCAACCCAGAGTCCCCTCAAACCTGGACCCAGAGTCCCCTCAAACTGGACCCAGAGGCCCCAATCTTGGGAAGATAAAGTCACACTAATCCCGCAGCTTGTGTCTCCCACACAGCCATGCCGGTGAGGGCCAGGGGTCATACATACTACTGTCCCTGGGTTAGTTGGGGAGAGCCCGTGTCAGGGGACAGTAAGGTCCCTGAGAGGACTCAGAGTTGTCGCATCAGGATCCCTCACTGCCCCGCGGACCTGGGACTGCACTGCTCCCAGCCTGACATTTCATCCCGACCGGGTGCCTTCCGGTCTCAGCCTCAGTTTCCCCTCTGTGAGGCTGGGAGTGGGTGGAGCCAGGGCTCCTCAGTCTTCCAGCTTGGAGGCTTTAGGGTTCTGAGTGCACAGGGACCAAATGGCCCCTGGCAGGTGGATTCACCCTCCAGGCGTATACCCACCAGGGGGCATTTGCCCAGTGGCTCAGCGGTCCTGGCCCTCAGGCGGCCTGTGCCCACCGGTCTCCCACTCTTTTCTCTCTCTCTTGTCCAAGGATGTCCCTACCAGAGGGGATGCCACCCAGCCTGGCACTGGCCAGCCTGGCAGCCGGAGCTCTGGTCTCTGCCAGCACTGGCTGATCTGGGGTGCACCACCTGCCAGCCACCGGCTTCCCTTTCCCTGCATGGCCTGGTGCCTCCCAGGCCACCTGGGTACAGTGGCGTCTACCATGGGGCCGGCTTTGCAGCAGCTGCTCCCGCGGCTTGCCCTCCCGCTGGCTGGTCACAGGCTGCATTCGGGGCTCAGCGGGCCCCTGCCATCTGTCTCCCTGCCCGTCCCCTCCTCTGCCCCCGGATCTGCCGTCTTGTGGTGGAGGTTTCTCTCCCGCAGACCCTGCTCTCCAGCTGTCTCCATTTCACTCCTCTCTGCCCGCCCCCCGCAGCTCGGCGCCCCCAGCATGTGTGGTAAAGCAGGCCCTCGAGGGGGCAGGAGAAGACCATGACCTTGCCTGTTGACCCTGGATCCTCGCCTCAGCCTGATCAGACCCACGCTGCACCCCCTCCCTGTTCATCTGCCCCTGAGTGGGTGAGCAGCTGGGCCAGGGCCCAAGTGCTGCTGTCAGCGCCTTTTTGGCCTCCTTGTCCCCTCCCTGGCTGTGTCAAGCCTCAGTGAGGGGTGGGCAGGCAGCCCAGGGACAGGGACAGGGTGGCTGACGCACACGGGATGGGGCAGGAGCCTCCCCTCTGTGTGAGTCACAGGGCATGCAGGAGCTGGGCCCCGGCCCAAGCCGTCATGCGGAGCAGGACAGAGGCCACCAGCACGGTCACCTTGAGGGTGGGGAACGGAACTCAGTGTCCAGGCTGGGGGGACCCACGATCCCTGCTTGCCCTGGAGAGGGGACGGGAGAGGTGGGTTGGGGCCTCAGTACACGGTGCTGGCTTGCGCAGCACAGAAGTTAGGAGGGGTGGACCAGGGTGCCGGGTGTGACCAAAGTGGCGCATGTCACACAGACCGCAAGTGGGTCCCCACCTGTGTTCCCAAGAGGCCGCTGGCCCCGTACCTTTGTGCCCTGCATACCCCTGCATGTGCTCCTGTGGCTGACCACGTGTTCACATGTCCTGTGCATGCGCACCCACGCGTGCTCCCAGGCCTGCCTGTGCACTGTCTCCTTGCCCCCATCAGCGCATCCTTGTATCCTGCCCTGAGCTGGCTGCACACCTGCACGAGCACCTGCACACACATGCAGTTCCCAGACATCCCCAGGAGGAGGAGGGGCAGGCCAGGGGCTCCTGGATCCCACAGCTGTGAGCGTGGGGACTCAGCTTCCGCCAGTAAGCCTGGCTGCCTTGGGCGGGGAAACTGAGGCCCAGAGAGGGTGAGGACTGACCCTATGAGCCACACTGTCCCAGAGCCAAAGTCTGTCCAGCCTTGAAACCTTTGTGTGGCCTGGCCAAGGACAGCGATGGTGTCTGCCCCCTGCCACCTCATGATGGCCCTGCCGGGTGTGGGAGGTGTGAAGCCAGCCCAGGAGGTTCCAATCCGTCCAGCCTCAGACCTGGCACTGGTCATAGACCCAGGGGGCTGTGTGGATACGCTGTCACCTGCCACCTTCTCAGCCAGCACTGTCCATTCTGAACTTCCTCTGGGTCCTTCCCCACACTGTCCACCCTCTGGGGCGCAGGGCTGTAAATTGGTTTTGCCTTAGCAGCGCAGGTCCGACATCCCCGTCCCCCCAGCACACTCCTTCCTGGAGTTTCCCAGGGGAAGGAGTCGGGGAGGAGGAGGCAGGGCCCACGAGGGGCCTCTGGCCTTCCTTTTTAAACACGGATTTCTCTGGCCTCGCCCTCGCTTTCTGGGCCCCTTTGAGGGCAGAGGGAGCCGGAACTGGACCGTCTGTGTCTAGGGCATGGGGTGGGAGTGGGGGCTGGGGCTGGGCCTGGCCAACATGGTGTGTCTAGTCTGCTAAGGGACCTGGTCATACCTCTCCTGGGCCTGGGACTCAGTGTGCCTACTTGGAAAGTAAGGGTTAGCTCAGATAGTCTGTGGCTATGGCCCTGTGCTGCCCGTGTCTTGGAGATGGATGGTGTAAATCACCTTGTTTCTTCCCACATCGACTGGGCCCTGCTCTGTGGATTGGGAAGCAGTCATCGACAGGTGTGGATGGCCTGGCTAGGCAGCTGGGTAGCCGGGGCCCTGGGCTTGCTGGACCCTGCCCTGGGCTCACTGTGCCTGGGAGCCTTGATCCTGGCCTAGGCTGTGCTGTGTCCCTTGGGGCAAGTCCTTGTCCCTCTCTGAGCCTCTGACTCTCCAGCGGAGGAAGCAGATGTGGAGGTTTGGCTAGGCTGTTTCAGAGGTCTGAGGCTCCCCTTTTTGGATGAGGGGTCCCTCCTGGAAAGTACTCCCCGGGCGATGACCTTGGGGAGTATCTCTAGGTCCCCTGCCTCTTACCCTCCTCCACTTGGCTCAGCTGGGCCTGTGGGGTGAGCTCTCCCACATCCTCCCTCCACAGAGACCCCAGCCTCTGCGCCCCCCCTCTGAGGGGGACCCACAGCCACTACACTCTGCTCCCCTCCCCCATGGAAGCTGAGACAAGGGAATTATTTTTGGAACAAGAGCAGTTACACAACAAATGAATTATTTATCTTTGGGCATGGAGAAAGGAGGCATTTTGCTGGGCTTCTTAATTCTTTTTCTGGATTTGGGGTGCCCACCTGGGTATGTGGACCTGTGCATGTGTCTGTCTATCGGGTACACAGATGGTAGGGGTGTGTGTGTGTGTGTGTGTGTGTGTGTGTGTGTGTGTGTGCGCGCCAGGCTGTGTCCATGTGTGTGTGCGCGCCAGGGTGCGCTGCCTTGTGGGGACCACGTGCAGGGTGGCGGGTGTGTGCACACCAGTGTCCTGGATGTGTGTGTGTGTGCGTGTGTGAGTGCACCTGACTCCCTTCCGTCCAGGCTCCTGTCTCTGTCCTTGGTCCTCAGGATGCCACTAATCTCTATCTCACTGCTTCCCCCAGACCCTCCCCCACCCTGCCACCTACCTGCTCTCCTTTCCTTTATGTAGCAGGGACCCTAGGGTGCTCCATGGCACGGAGGCCCCAGCAGGGGTATGGAGAGGGACCGGGCCCTGCGCTGGAGCTCCAGTGGGCTGGTCTGGGCCCTCGCACTGACCCGTCACCCCCTCGGTGCTGCCTTTCAGGAACCAGGTGACAGATGGGTCTTTTCCTTCCTGCCCCCCGTCTCTCTGCTCTCCTGCAGAGCTGCGCCCTGCTCTCCGGTGGGAACTGTCTGAAGCTCTGAGCCCAGACCTGGAGGAGGAGGAGGAGGAGGAGGAGGAAGAAGAGGACCAAGGAGAGGAAGTCCAAGCCTGAGACCCTGTGCGCCTTCCCAGCAGGAGTCAAGGAGCACCGCGGGGAGCTGCCCTCGATTCCCCACACCTCAGCTAGTCCCGGGGTGCCCGCTCAGCCTCCTGAAAGGTCCCCAGCAGTTGGAACCGGCTGTGACCACCTTGCCTGGGACCCCCGTTCCAGGGGTTGCCCCCAAGATGGTGGCGGCCCCAGGGAGGACTGTGCCGCCAGCCCCAGCCTCCAGCCTCTAGGTCCCTGAGCTCCGACCCCTCGCCCCCCCCCCAGCCACCTGGGGGCCGAGGCCAGCACCATGCTGCGCCTGGGGCTGTGCGCGGCGGCGCTGCTGTGCGTGTGCCGGCCAGGCGCGGTGCGTGCGGACTGCTGGCTCATCGAGGGGGACAAGGGCTACGTGTGGCTGGCCATCTGCAGCCAGAACCAGCCGCCCTACGAGACCATCCCTCAGCACATCAACAGCACTGTGCACGACCTGCGTCTGAACGAGAACAAGCTGAAGGCCGTGCTGTATTCCTCGCTCAACCGCTTCGGGAACCTCACGGACCTCAACCTCACCAAGAACGAGATTTCCTACATCGAAGACGGCGCCTTCCTGGGCCAGTCCAGCCTGCAGGTCCTGCAGCTGGGCTACAACCGCCTCAGCAACCTGACAGAGGGCATGCTGCGGGGCATGAGCCGCCTGCAGTTCCTCTTCGTGCAGCACAACCTCATCGAGGTGGTCACCCCCACCGCCTTCTCCGAGTGCCCGAGCCTCATCAGCATCGACCTGTCCTCCAACCGCCTCAGCCGCCTGGACGGCGCCACCTTCGCCAGCCTGGCCAGCCTGATGGTGTGTGAGCTGGCCGGCAACCCCTTCAACTGCGAGTGTGACCTCTTTGGCTTCCTCGCCTGGCTCGTGGTCTTCAACAACGTCACCAAGAACTACGACCGCCTGCAGTGCGAGTCGCCTCGGGAGTTTGCCGGCTACCCGTTGCTGGTGCCCCGGCCCTACCACAGCCTCAACGCCATCACCGTCCTGCAGGCCAAGTGCCGCAACGGCTCGCTACCCGCCCGGCCCGTGAGCCACCCTACGCCCTACTCCACCGACGCCCAGCGGGAGCCGGATGAGAACTCGGGCTTCAACCCCGACGAGATCCTCTCGGTGGAGCCGCCGGCCTCGTCCACCACGGATGCGTCCACGGGGCCCGCCATCAAGCTGCACCACGTGACCTTCACCTCGGCCACCCTCGTGGTCATCATCCCGCACCCCTACAGCAAGATGTACGTCCTGGTCCAATATAACAACAGTTACTTCTCTGACGTCATGACGCTCAAGAACAAGAAGGAGATCGTGACTCTGGACAAGCTGCGGGCGCACACCGAGTACACCTTCTGCGTGACTTCCCTGCGCAACAGCCGCCGCTTCAACCACACCTGCCTGACCTTCACCACCCGGGACCCCGTGCCCGGAGACCTGGCGCCCAGCACCTCCACCACCACGCACTACATCATGACCATCCTGGGCTGCCTCTTCGGCATGGTCATCGTGCTGGGCGCCGTCTACTACTGCCTCCGCAAGCGCCGCATGCAAGAGGAGAAGCAGAAGTCCATCAACGTCAAGAAGACCATCCTGGAGATGCGCTACGGTGCCGACGTGGATGCGGGCTCCATTGTGCACGCCGCTCAGAAGCTGGGGGAGCCCCCTGTGCTGCCCGTGGCCCGCATGTCCTCCATCCCCTCCATGATTGGGGAGAAGCTGCCCACCTCCAAGGGACTGGAGGCCGGGCTGGACACGCCCAAGGTGGCCACCAAAGGCAACTATATTGAGGTGCGCACGGGTGCTGGGGGGGATGGACTGGCTCGGCCGGAGGATGACCTCCCAGACCTCGAGAACGGCCAGGGCTCTGCTGCCGAGATCTCCACCATCGCCAAGGAGGTCGACAAGGTGAATCAAATCATTAACAACTGCATCGACGCCCTCAAACTGGACTCGGCTTCTTTCCTGGGGGGCAGCAGTGGCGGCGGGGACCCCGAGCTGGCTTTCGAGTGCCAGTCCCTCCCCGCGGCCACCGCCACCGCCACGGCCGCCGCGCCCGGGGCGTTGGAGCGGCCCAGCTTCCTCTCTCCGCCCTATAAGGAGAGCTCGCACCACCCGCTGCAGCGCCAGCTCAGCGCCGACGCCGCCGTCACCCGCAAGACCTGCAGCGTGTCGTCCAGCGGCTCCATCAAGAGCGCCAAGGTCTTCAGCCTGGACGTGCCTGATCACCCGGCCACCTCGGCGCTGGCCAAGGGCGACTCCAAGTACATCGAGAAGGGCAGCCCGCTCAACAGCCCGCTGGACCGGCTCCCGCTGGTGCCCTCGGGGGGCAGCGGGGGCAGCGGCGCGGGCGGGGGCATCCACCACCTGGAGGTGAAGCCGGCGTATCACTGCAGCGAGCACCGCCACAGCTTCCCCGCGCTCTACTACGAGGAGGGCGCCGACAGCCTCAGCCAGCGCGTGTCCCTCCTCAAGCCGCTGACCCGCTCCAAGCGAGACCCCACCTACTCGCAGCTCTCCCCCAGACACTACTACTCGGGGTACTCTTCCAGCCCCGAGTACTCCTCCGAGAGCACGCACAAGATCTGGGAGCGCTTCCGGCCCTACAAGAAGCACCACCGCGAGGAGGTGTACATGGCCGCCGGCCACGCCCTGCGCAAGAAGGTCCAGTTCGCCAAGGACGAGGACCTGCATGACATCCTCGATTACTGGAAGGGGGTCTCGGCCCAGCAAAAGCTGTGACCCCTCTCCTCCCTGGTGAGGCTGGAGGGGGGGGCGGGGCGCTCGGGAAGGGCCCTCCCACAGGGTGGCGCCGGGCCAGGCAGCGCACCGAGGGCCCCGGGGGCTCGGAGTGGACGCACACGCACACCCGCACGCACGCACCACGCACACACACCTGACCACCACCTGACTGTGAACCAACCAACACCCGACAATAACGGACAGGAAAACAAAGACACATTTTCCTTAAAGTTTACAAACTGATACCGAAACCAGGCGTCTTTACTGTGCTGCCCAGGGACTCTGCCGGGGTGTGTGGGGCTGGGGACTAGGACAGGTGACGAGGAAGCCAGGAGGGTGTGGGGCTGAGGGAGCTGAGACCAAGGACAGGATTGGGGGCAAAGGGAACTGAGGTGGAGATGGACTGACATGGTCCTCAGGGTGGGGACCGGACAGGTGGACACTGGACACAGGATGGGCACTGTCATTCCCTTCCTCTCTGGATGGCCCAGGGAAAGGAAGTGGTGGCCCCTTGGCCACACAGCGGGTCAGTCTCAGTCTCCCACCTTTCCAGCCCAGTGCTGCCTCCGCCCAGCTGCTCCCCTGGGCTCCCCAGCTGGTCCACTCCTCACCCCATCAAGGTTGAGGTTTCTGGGGCTGAGGGTTGTGAGAATCAGGCAGGTGCTTTTCCTCTCTAGAAAGTCCACGGAAGCACCCTTGAGGTCTGGGGCGGTGGCTCATAATTCTAGGAGGTCCCCCTAGCAGGAAGGGAGCAGGGGCGAGGGGACAGGCCACCAAACTCCTTCAAGTGTCTTCCAAGTAGCTCGGGAGCTGCCTGGGGTGGGTGGGGGCAGATCATGTCCCTTGGCATCTCAGGTGCAGGCCCTAGGCCCCAGGCTCCCAGCTCCCCTGGGCCTTGGGGGACCCGCACCTTCCCAGAGGTGTGACAGTGAACTGTGTAGCCTGAGGGAAGCAGGGAAGTGGCGTGGAATGGCGGGGGACTTCCTGCCTGCACCTCACATCCTGCCCCTGCCTGGCATCCACCTCCGGGTCTCTGGACAGGTCTTAGCTTGCCCACAGGAAGGAAGGTGCCTGATACCCCATCTTTGCCTCGCCTCCTGGCCAGAGGGGCTCCCATGTTTCCATGGAAATGGCCACTTCCCTTTCTGACCCTCACCCAACATCAAACGAAGCACAAACAGTGAGGTCCTCCCCCACTGCCCTGCGGGGTGGGGGGAGCAGGTTGGGTTTTCGGCCCCGCCCCCTCCCTAGCTAGCCCATCACCATGGCAACCCGGTGCCTGTCAGTTGGTGCCCAGAGTCAGCAGCCGTTGGGCTCTGGGGTTCTCTCAGTGTGGGTGGCAGCTGAGCACAGTGAGGGAGGGCAGGGCAGGGCTGGGCCATGGCTGCCTTTCTCAAGAAGGGGGTTTCTGGGGACAAGTCCCAGGGAGGAGCAGTTCTGGGGCCTTGAGACCTGGGACCGTGAGCGCCAGCAGGCTGAGGGGCCGAGCCAGGGTCCCTTCCCTTGTGTGGGAGGTGGGTCGGTGAGTGTGGGCCGGACTCTCCTGGGTGGCTTTGGGCACCCTGCCCGTGTGCCCTCAGCTCCCCTGCCCCTCTGCGTGGGGGAGCCTTCTCTGCTCTTCCCTGTCCCTGCCAGGGCTCCCCAGCTCCTGGCTTGTCACCTTTTTGAGCTTCTTGGGACAGCAGGACACACTGGGGTGAGGGTAGACACTGGCGAGGGGTGGGGGGACTGAGACTTGTACTGCGGGTGGAGTGCCATCTCTGGGGTGGGACACCGACCCCCAAATGCTAGGGGGGCTACAGGGGGCGGGGAGGGGGTCAGCCGAGCACTTAGCATTGTCACCTCGGGGGTGAGCTGAGCCCAGGCTAGGGGTAACATTTGCAAAGAAAAAGACTGTTCTCCTGGGGAACGGAGGGCTTGGGCTGGCATGATCGTGCAGGGCAGACCTCCCCAACCCTAGACCGCGGCCTCTCCTCACACTCAGTTGGCGGGCTGGGAAGCCAGCGGGGTGGGAAGCAGGCTCCCTGTTACATTTGCATGACGATTTTACTGTATTTTTCTGAGCAAACATCTGTCGTGTATGTGCCAGTCTGTCCAGTTTCCCCCCTTCCCTTCCAGCTTCCCTCCGTTTGGATCTAAGCAGCTCTTGAAACCCAGGGAGGGGCCAGCTCTGCCAGTGACCCAAAACAGGTGCCACCGAAACACAGCCCCGACCCCCGGCTCCTGTCTTTCTGGGCATCAGGCCCACAAGTGCCACCTCCCTGCTCCCTTCGTCTCTCCACGACCATCTCTTTTGTCCTCTGTGTACCTCTTCCTTCCGGGTCCCTTTCCACCTCCACGCCAGGGAGGGTGGCCGTAGGGATGTCTGGAGAGGGAAGCCCCATTTCAGTGCGGGGGGAGGACCTTCACAGTCCCTCTCATGTGCTCCAGTTGTCCCCATTTTGCAGGCGAGGTGACTTGCAGGTTAGGGGGACGGGGTCAGTCCCACCGCTGGAGACAAGAGGCCAAGAGCTTGGGGCTTTGTGGACAGCTGGGACGAGTGATGGGAGGGACAGGGAGCTGCCAGGTGCCCGGCCCGGGCCCAGGAAGGTTCCCAGTGGCAGCTTGGGTGCTGTCTCTGCCCTTCTGCCATCATTCCTTCTTGGAGACCTATAAACCCTCAGGCCAGTTCATTTTAGGGGGCTTTCAAGTCAAGGCTCCATCTCAATAGAGGGGCGTGACCCCCTTGGTTGATCAGGCAGCCTAGAATAATCAGAGCACACCGTGAGACAGAGCAGGTTCTAGATGCAGAGCTGGGCTAGGCCCCCAGCTGCCCAGGCCAGGCCAGGCCTCTCTGTGAAGAGCCCCTGCATCTGTGTCATTTTGGGGATGATTTCTCCCCCAAGCAGAAGTGAACTACAGCAACAAAAGAACATTTACCCCCCAAGAGCCTGTGTGTGCGGGCCACGGTCCTGGCCCGGCCTGGGCAGGCTGAGAGGGTGGTGTCTTGGGTGGAGGGAAGGGGCCAGGGAGGAGTGCAGCAGGGTCCAGTGTGGGCAGCTTGGGCAAGCCAGCTGGGGAAGATGTGGGTGCTGTACCGTGGACTCTGCCCAGGGCCCACGTGAGGCCACACCTGGGCCTGCCCATTCCTTTGCAGCCCACTCCCCTGGGGTGGCGCAGAGGTACCCACTCTCTCTGAGAGGTCTGGGGGGGGTGATTGTGTTAGTGGACGGCTCGTTGCAGAACAAGAAGGGCCCGTGCTCTGGGCACCAAGTGCCCTCAGCTCTGCCCCCTGCCGAGGACAGGGCAGCCCCTGGCTGAGGAATGCTGGGGATGACGGGTGGCGATGGCCAAGACACACTTGGGCAGGTCTGGCGCAGGCCACTCCCGAGGGTGCCTGGGGCCAGCTGGGTGAAGAGTGTGGGACTGGCCAGGGCCCCTGATCCTGCTGACTCCCTGCCCCACTCTGGGAAATTTAACAGAAGGGGAGACAAAGGCAGTGCAGAGAAATGGAAAGGCCTGTAGAAAACAGTGACAGCAAGGGGACAGACAGGGCCAGGGTGACGGAACCCCTGATTATAAGGATAAAGTGAAGGGACAGACAGACAGATGTTTTCCAGTGGTGAGCCCTATGCAGGGAAGGAAAATAGGGGGACGGGCTGGGGGGGTCCCTTGCCCCTTAGAGGAAGAGGCAGACAGCTGCATCCTCAGGACACGGGGCTGCAGAAGGGGCCAGCAGCTGTGACAAAGAGATTAGGGCCTGGAGCGGCTGGCTGGTACCCTCCTGCCGCCAGCACCAGCCTGGCCTTGGCTGGGGTGTGGCTGCATGCGAAGCCGTCTCTGCCCAGCGCAGTCTGCCCTCTATGGCAAGACGGCTGCCCCCAGGGCCCTGCGTCCCAGGACGGGGACTTCCTTCCAGCTCTTGGAAGACAGAGTCAGTCTGTCCCCTTTGGGTTTTCCTTAGAGGTCAGTCACTCCCAGGGAGAGGGCAAGGGGCCCTGGGGCTGTCTGGGCAGGGTCTGGGCCGCCTCTTCCACGCCTCTGCCCCTCTGCCAAGCACACACAGGCCTGGGGCAGGGGTTCGGGTCCAGCAGCGGCGGCCATCCTCTCCTCCTTGTCCCTGTCCTCCTCAGGGGCCGCCAGGCCCCTGGTGTGCTGTGACCTGGCACCTGCTTTGAGCTCTACAGAGCTGGGCTCGAGGCCCTGAACTCCGAACCTGTGAACCCCAGCTGTGTACGGACCCTGTCTCCCTCTGGGGGCCTTGATCCTGCTCCTTTTCATTTATGGGGGTAACTTCATTTATTTTCTCCTCCCTCCATCTGCCCTCCACCCCCATTTCCTGTTTTAAACTGAATGGCACGAAATTGTTTTCCTCAACTCGGAGATTCCTGTATGGAGAGAATCAATTTCTATATTTGCAATAAATTTCTTATTTAAAACAACAGGGCCAAGGTTTCTGTGGAGTGCTGTCCTGCTGTGTGGATGCCCCCTGCCCTCCGGTTCTGGCTCCCTGGCCCCGTGCTGTCTTTCCCCCCAGGGTCCTGCCCATGGGACTAACCGTGGGGAACATGGATGGGGTCATCCCTGCCCTCAGTCAAGGGGAAATGAATGGGTCTGCCAGACACAGGGTGGGCGGCAGGGAATACAGGGCCTTTACATACCCCAGCACCCGCAAGATGAGGGCCTCATGATCTCCTGTCCCCCAAACCTAGGTTCTCCTCTGCCAAATGGCCTCACACTCCTTCCTGGGCTGCTTCGCCCTGGATTCAGACTCTGTAGACCGCTCTATGGAGTATAGGGTCACTTGGGGACGTCGGAGGCCCTTAGCCACTGCTCTGTGGAACCCCTAGGCCTCTTCCAGGCCTGAGCTGGGCACTTGCCCTTGTACCCTGCCTGCCCTGTCCATGGTGCCCTCCACTAACTGCTGTCCTCCAAAGCTACTGGCCACTTGTTCCCTTAGAACCAAGAGATGCTGCTTGTCTCTGTGGTCAGGCTCCAGAGCTGAGTCACCGTTCAGTGACCTCAGGCTGAACAGCCCAAAGCTTGGCCCAGAGGGAGTCGGGAGCCACGGGTGCCCGGACTGGCTCCAGGTTCCCCTTCCCCGACCCCCACTATCCGGCTGCTCCACATGAGCTCTGCTCCCCAAGGCCCTGAGCCGGCCTGAGCTGTGATAGGCCGCTTGGAGTGTGTGCCAGAGGACAGAGTGGTCCCTGTGAGGCACGTTACATGGTGGGCCTCAGAGGCTTCGAACCAGGTGGTCAGCTGGAGCTGTGGCGTTGGTGGTTCTAGGAGGGAGCCCGTGGCGTCCCAGTCCCTCTACCGGAGTCAGAGTGGGACCGTAGAGATGGCCCTGCCCTGGGTCTCCTCACCTTCCCTTGCCTGATCCCACCCTGTGTCCTCACACAGTTCCCTAGGAAGCTTCCTAGGGGCTGCAGCTGGGCCTCCATCTTTCCGCTCTGTCCCCTGGCTCAGCCCCAAGTGCCCAGATCCCCCTTTCCCAGAAAACTTCCAATGTGGACTTAAGCCACACCAGGGCGGGGAGGAGGGGCACTTGTATCTGTCTCATCAAAACCGGCGCCAGGGCTGCCCGATCCCCAAGCCTGACTTGGCTCCAGGCACGGCACTGATACCCTGCCTGGGACACAATTGCCTCAGTTTCTCATTGCTATACTGGGCTTTCTCTTGAACGCTGGTTTTTACCCCCAAGATGTGACCCAAAGTGTACACGAGGCTGGGTTGTCCAAATCCTTCCCCTGGGGGCCTCTGCGGGTGTTGCTGGGAATTTGGAAATGTCTTCAAAGACATATTCATATTTTCGGGGTTCATTACACCATAAATGCCAAGATTGTTGTCTTTTAATTTCAACCACAAATGTTCTACTTATAATTCTAGTAACCTTACACCTTAACTATGTATTGGTGAGGGTGGCCTTGGGTCACTGTGACCCTGCTTAACATAATGGAGGGGGCGTCCTCCACCAGCCCAGGCTCGTAGTCACTGGTTTTATATACTTGCTGATCCCGTGTTTCCGGCACTTATTTACAAAGTGAGCCAAACCTGTTACCAAATAAATTCCACCGACGCCCATGGCGACTGTGGGTTCTCGTCACGTCCTGGTGGTCTTCTCACGAGGGAAAAGACCTGAAATCGACAAATGACACAAACCTTAAGGAGACTGTGGTTGTCTCAATAGGGTGAATATCACAAATGCCCGAACCGCTTCACACAGGTATCTTAACCCAAGACATTAATCAGGCAGACCTCAGCCTGCCAGCTGTGCACACACCCACTTCTCTCTGAAGTGACCCTCTTCACCCCGGGATGGGACAACTCTCTCCTAATTTAGCTCCAGGCTGTGGACGCCTGTTGGTGAAATCTCTAGAGGCTGAGTCCTGAACCGGAGATTGGTAAGGACAGGAGAGCTGTGCGCTGTAGGCAGAATCCCACTGACCAGGGGGAAGCCCCCCTTTATACGTTCCTGGACTGTGTCTTCTAACCGGGTGCACTGCGGGTGGCCTCCCGTGTGTCCTGGAGTCTGGAGCCTCCCGGCAGCCCCCAGTCCGGCCCAGCCCTCCACAGCCAGGGTTTCTTACCCTCCGGCTCCCTGAGACTCCTCCTCACCCTGGAGGACCTCGGGCGGCCGGGCAGCCCAGCGCTTCTGGAACAATAGTAAAAAGGTTTCCGCCGGCTTCCGCCAGCCTTAGCCAAGGAACTTCTTCTTCTCTGTCGCTGCTGAGCTCCAGGCCCTGCTTCAGCATCAGTGAAGTCTTTTCTCCAGCGATGCCCTTTATAGGGGTCCGCAGTCCCGGCTGCTTCTTAGGGGTCTGGTTGCAACCCCCGGGTTCCCCAGAGGGCCTTAGGCCTGCCGCCCCTCTTCCTGTCTGGGTGGTGGTCAGGGCTCCGTGGAGTCGTCCTCAAGCTTCCTCCAGCCTTGGCCTGGTCACCTGTCCTGGGCACCCTCTCTCCACAGCGAGTGACTCTTCTTGTTCCCTTGAGAATTAAGAGATGTTGCTTGTCGCTGTGATCAAGCCCAGGGTTGGAAGTCACTATCCTGTCATCCCAGAGTGAATTGCCCAAACTTTGGTCCAGGTCATGTTGTCTGGAAGCAGCATCCACTGCCCACTTCTCAAACCCCGGTTCTCCGGCTCTTCCATGTGGACCCTGCCCTGGGAGGCCCTGGACCAGCCGGGGTCCCTGGGACTGCACGGGAGTGGGCTTCACGGGAGCAGCTTCAACTCAGCTGGAGCTGTGGCCCTGGTGGGGGCCTTAAGTGGGGGCCCACGGCTTCCTGTTCCCTTCCTCCGCAGCGAGGGCCCTGGCCTGGTCTCCTCACCCTTCCCCTGGCTGATTCTTGCTGGCTTATGTTCCTGCAAGGGTCCTAACGCAGTCCCCAAGGTGGGTGTCGCCAGGTTGCTTCTGCCGGACTCTGGTCCCTGTCCAGGCCGCCACAGATGTAGTCCTGAGCCTGTCCCAGGGCTGCCCCTGGGGCCTGACCCCCGGCACCTGCTTGGCTATTTCCTTTCCCTGACTGACCCAGGGAAGCACTGCATTCCCTCCGTCCACCCAGGCCCTGACTGTGGCTTCTACCACAGGGTTTTCTTCACTGTCCTCATGGTCTCTGAGGTTGGGGGGTCTAGTTCCGAATCTGGGCTCTCTCTCAGGCCCCTTGTCCTGTGCTCTGGATTTCAGGTCACAGTATGGCGCTGCCCACTGTGCCTGGCACAGGCGCGGGCCCATGAAGTCTCTTCCATGACCCTTTACCCTCAAGTAATGGAACCAGTGCCACTGTGTCGGGGTGCAGCCTCTGGGGCCCCAGGTTTCCTCTCCGACCCCTGCAGCTGCACCAGCTGCTCTGACCCCCACCTCTTGGGGTTCTTGGGGTGGGGTTCTGCCCTCTCTGTCACTGCTGCCTGCAGGGTTCATCCTTGATTTGCTGGTCCAACCTCCAGTGAACCCCGGGCCAAATGCCCTTCTCCTCCCGAGGCTTGCAGCCCCAGCTGGCCAGCTGCTGTCCACTCAATACACGGCGCAGCTCTGTTTTACATTTTGAGGAACAGCTGTGCCCCCGAGGTGATGCAGCGTGTCAGGGGGCAGTTTAGGGAAGGACGCTGGCCTGTTTAATCCCCAAGTGTGGCCTGTGCTGGGCTGCTCTGTCCAGCCACCCACCCGAGGGCCAGGGCACAAAGGCCTAAGCACCAGCAAGAGCTGCACACCACACCCTGACCTGGAGGTCACCATGAGTCCAGGGAGACCGGGGCACAGGGCTGGTGATGCGCTCAGGTCCTGGACTTAAGTGACAATGTCTCAGACCCTACGTGCTGATCCACACTGCTAAAATTTTGGTTACCTCTGAGATACGTAATCTTTTGTTTAAGGTGGGAAGGAGGCCAGGTCATAGGAAGTGTGACTCAGTGGGGGTGGGGGACACAGGTGGCGCTGGGTCAGGAGGGCCCCGCCACAGGCTGCGTACACTAGAAAGGCCGGCACTGACCCTCCCTCGGCTCCCAGCTGCTCCCCATGGGGGCGAGGCTACGGGGTCACAAGTGCATGCCAGAGCTTCCTCTCTCTAGACTGTTCTCCTCATACCTGGGGACTCAGGACTGTGGCCCAGGTGGCCCTAGACCTGTGACCACAGCTTGGCCTCTGGGGGGCCTGTGTCACCCATGCGGATACCCTCAGCACCCAGATGGCCAAGGGGTTCCGGGGGTCGGGGTGGGGGATGTGGATAGAGCTTGGAAGGTGGCTTGGGGGGTCCACGTGTAGGCACTTGCCTCCAGTGTCACCGGCTCAGGGTACAGGTGTGGGCCAGGCCTTTACCCTGGGCTGCCACAGGAGAGGACTGCCAGCAATTGGAACTTCAAAGCTCCCTTCAGGCCAGGGACAGTTGTCAAGGCAAGAGCTGTTCTAACGGCTCCTCAGCTTGATTCCTGACCTTTTGCTATTAGATTGATCATATTCAAAACACCTCTGGTCATCTTTCTCAGATTTGTTACCTCAGTGGGTAGCTGGAGCTGGGCTTGGGGGCCAGGGGTGCCTGGGTGGCAGCTGGATGACAGGTGATGGGCCCAGTCTGGGGGAGAAGGCTCTGGCAATGACATTGGGAGAGGAAATGGCTTTGCTTTTTTGTGCCTGGGCCAGGGTGGGGTGGGCAGGGAAGGCCACTGAGGGGCGGGAGAGGGCTTCAAGGGCCAGTGGCAGAGTGTGGGCCCAGGAGCGGGGTGGGGCTGGCACCTGTCTCGCAGGGGTGCTGGGAAGCAGAACTCATTCCAAGGGCGGAAGCCGACGGGTAAAGGCAGGTCAGAATGTCAGTCTCCTGGCAGGGCCGGCTTTCTCTTTGTCTCCAGCTAAGGTAGCAGCTTATCCTCCCCTCTTCCACGGCCAGGCCTCAGCCCGCAGCCCCACAGGCCTTCCCATCGAAGGAGATGCGGTCTCCGTCTTGTTG